CTAGCTCTATCGCTATCTCTCTCTCTCTCTCTCTCTCTTCTCGCTCTCTCTCTCTCTCTCTCTCTCTCCTCTCTCTCTCTCTCTCTCTCTCTCTCTCTCTCTCTCTCTCTCTCTCTCTCTCTCTCTCTCTCGCTCTCTCTCTCTCTCAAAAAGTGCTCAAAATTCACATGTGTGCTAACAGTCCAGCCGTGAAGACATCTACGGGACAGTTTTGAGATTTTCAAATGCCATGAAGCACGATGTCGCTGTAAGTCCAATGGACACGGTCCGATCGTCCCCCAATCTTCACTTGTATATCACCGGTCCATGCCTCAACAGCTCTACGCCAAATCTGAGATCTCACCATATGCCGTTTCCATGGAAACGCATCCCTCGCCATAAAAGACGATGTCGCTATAACTCCTATGAAAATGTTCAAAAAGTGCTAAAACTTCACATGTGTGCTAACAGTCCAGCCGTGAAGACATCTACGGGACAGTTTTGAGATTTCTTCAAATGCCGTTGCCATGGCGACAGACCACTCGCCATGAAGCACGATGTCGCTGTAAGTCCAATGGACACGGTCCGATCGTCCCCCAATCTTCACTTGTATATCACCGGTCCATGCCTCAACAGCTCTACGCCAAATCTGAGATCTCACCATATGCCGTTTCCATGGAAACGCATCCCTCGCCATAAAAGACGATGTCGCTATAACTCCTATGAAAATGTTCAAAAAGTGCTCAAACTTCACATGTGTGCTAACAGTCCAGCCGTGAAGACATCTACGGGACAGTTTTGAGATTTCTTCAAATGCCGTTGGCATGGCGACAGATCATTCCCCATCAAGTTAGTTCAAAGGTTTGCAGTTCAAATATTCTGCTGCTTTTCCAAGCCTTTTTACTCTCTTTTCTTCTCTCATCACACATTCAAGCCCCCAGTGTTCATGTATCATTTCAATCTAAATTCTTCACTTTCTTCTTACACATTACATTTCAGCATAGCAGTTTAGCGTCAGTTTCAGCATAAAGCATTCCCACTAGCAATTTCTTCAGGAATTGCATTCTCTAGTTAATCATGTTACACACCCAAGTCCACTCGCCGCCATCAGAGTCAATGGATACAGATCTCAAAACTTTGCATTGGAACGAGGATGTACACAAGGATGTTTGTTACTCTACTGTTTGTTTACTTTGGCTCACTCTCTGGATATAAAGTAAACGTAGAAATCAAAGAAAATGCGTCTCTGTGTACTTACAGAGGACTCTTCAGAGAACACGTAGAGGGCCAGTGGCTTCTCTTGGCGGTTGATTAAGGCGATGGCTTCCTCCAGAGTCTCTGCGGTGAGGATGGGCAGGAAGGGGCCGAAGATCTCCTCCTCCATCATAGCGTCATCTTCAGCCACGTCCACCAGCACTGTGGGAGCTGACACAAGCAAAGACAGATTTATAAACACAACATTCTTCAAGTTCCACAAATAAAATAATATATGTGAATAATTAAAAAAGCGAATATCTTTCTAAACTTTCGATCAGGCATTTGTGAATCCAGTTTTTATTTGTGGATCTCAAGTCCATGTGTGTTTTGCATTTTACACACCGTTTTGCGACTCACTTTCCCACTAATCTGAACAAAATGTTAATTTACTTGTAAATCAAATAATGTATTCACATGTTTTTTTTAATTATTTTTCAGATCCATTTATATTATATAGATGTTTCACATTTACAGATTGGGTAGTCAATCTGCTCACAAATAATTGAGAGAAATCTACCTCCATTTACGAGACAGTTATAATCTAACATGTTGAGCTGCTGTGTTTGGTGGATAATCATCTGATCACCGCTAGAGAACAGTGCATCTGTGAGTTAGAGGAGTTGGTTAGTTAAAGCTGCTCCAAACATACTGAAGTATTAAAGAGGCCCTATTCTGCTTGTTGGGGTCCTCTCTCCCCTGTAGTGGGTTCTATAGGTTTTAGTCATGTATGTGTAAATGGTCTGCAAAGGCTAAAATCCCTGTGTTCCCTCCAGAGGGACTTTCTCTCAGATACATACAACTAAAGAATGTACGTTGCTTTTAAAAGTACCATTTGATCACTTTGTGTACTCTTTACATTGCCAGTTACAGCTGCTGTAATCGATATCTGGCAGGTCTTATCAGCTCAATGCTAGGCTCGTCTGGAGTTAAAGAAACAAAAGTAACCTGGGTTCAGAGGAGGAATGACTTTCTAAAAAACAGTGCGCAAGAGCTTGTCTTCTATTCATTAAAGGAATACTTAGTGATTATTTGTATGTCCGATGTTCTCATGTGTCACCATGTTTCTCTACCCACCGATGTACTTGTTCTCCTCGTTACTCTCTCCTCCCATCACCACCTTTCCCTTGGACCTCTTGAGCAGCTCCATGAGTCGGGTCCAGTGTCTTGGGGACACGATGCGGGGCAGGTCGGAGGAGCTCTCGGGCTCCTTGCTGTGTAGAAATCCTCCAGGGTTTGTCTCAGTGCGGGCAGCAGGGCGTCCCTGGTGGCCTTCGAGCACACCAAGAAGTCCGGAGCCACACAGCTCTGGCCCGTGTTAAAGAACTTTGACCAGGCCAGTCGGCGCGCGGCGTAGGTGATGTTCACCTTACCGTATATCAGGCACGGACACTTCCCACCCAGCTCCAAGGTCACAGGGGTCAGGTGGTCCGCGGCCGCATGCAGGATGTGGCGAGCCACGGCCTGAGAACCTGAGTCAGAGGGAAGGGTTAATGAGCTTATGATAATGTGGCTGCTAGCACTCCAGATATGTAGCTCCAGACCAAGCGATCGAAGCATGGAAGCATAGAGAGAGATGGAAACACGTATGAGGCGGGACTTCGTTCATTCCTATGAAAGTTGCTCAGTAGCGCATGAAACAAAATATGGACTGACTGTAGGTACAAAAAATACCCAGAAATCTTAGACCAGGCACACTTGCATTTTCCTTAAGGCCCGCCTCCAGCCCTCCATCACATCTACTCACAGCTTAGTCAAATGAAAGACAGATTTAAATTCTCCAATATTCAAAGACTTGGTTAAAACCATGGTTAAAACATGCCTCTAAAGATGCTAATGACCTTGACATGAATGTGAACGGAGTGAAAGGATGAAAATAAAAATGGTAGATCAATAACAGAAGTTAATTAAATGCAGGGTGATAACAGCAGACTATGTTATGTAAGGGATAATGTGCAGCGACGCGGTCATTATGGGGAAAAGAACACCGACAGGCAGATCAGGAGCCCGACGATGCATGCAGTTTGCTTTTCGGCCAAACTGTATACAGTTAAATCGAACGGACTTCTTTCTGCAGATGTGAGCGTCCTTAACAACGGTCAATAAGTCCTTGACAGCGGTCTGTCTGTTCTGGATTAACAACGTGTCACATGTTCTGAATTGACCAATCAGAATCGAGTATTCAACTAAGCCATGTAATAATTTGAAATAAAGACAAAACACTGGCCGTTTCTCAATGTCGAGTAAACCTGCTACAGAGCCACTATTTCAAGTATACTATGTCATCGAGTGGCACCGAAGGACTGTTTAAATGCATGTTAAATGCCCAGCATTCTGCGCCACTCGATGAAGTAGTATACTTGAAATAGTGGCTCTGCAGCAGGTGTACTCGACATTGAGAAACGGCCTCTGTCTTCCTCTTACAGCTGAAACAATCAAAACAGCTTTGATCAATTGAATGCACTGGGTATACAGACAACATGAGTTTTTACTTGATGAAAATACTGTTTTAGCATGAACCACATGAGTGTAGATGGATTCATGTTGCGCACCCTCGATACATTGTTCATTATAGAAACTTCTAACCCAAATCTGTTAATAGCAGTGGTGTTTTTTGGATCTTAGCCTTGATATGTTCTTAGCTCAAGTCCACTTTGTGATATTTTGTGTAAAGGACATATGATAAGAATGACTCATTGTTTACCTGTGTAGAAGATGTGGTCAAATCGGTTCTTCAGTAGAGCCTTGGTCTCCTCTGCTGCCCCGCGGACTACTGCATAACAGTCCTGTAGCACAGAGATCATACAAAGTACTGTACATATATACTGTGTATAGTGTTGATTACTGTTCATTGTACTTTAAGTTCATTTTGATGTAAATACTTTTGCTTAAGAAAGAGTTTGAATGCAGGACTTTACTTGTAACAGAGTATTTAGCATGAGTCACAAATAAAGATTCTAATCCTTCTGTTGACAGGAGAGCCTTAGTGTTATACTTCCTGGATTTAAACCATGTAGAAACTTGCTGTTGCTTTACCTGAGACATATATTTTGGGATGAGCTCTGCGACAAGAGCATCTGTGGCGGCGCTGACCTCTGAAGGCTTGATGATGGCACAGTTACCTAGACAACAACATTTCTCAGTCAGTACAGGAAGCAGAAATCCACACGACAGAAGTGACATTTTCACCTGTTTCAGGAGGTGAGAAATGCTCTTTAATACCCAGAGTAAGATCCTAAGCCACGTGTTATCTTTGCAGTCTGTGCATGTGGAGCCCCTCAACAGTATATCAGGGACCCTATAAAAAGGCAGCACATATACTACAAATGTTTAGGATCAGGTTTCTTGTTTTTTGTTTTGACAACTGCCTATTCAATTGGAACAGAGTGTCTTGATGAATAATGACCTTTACAGAAGAATGAGGAAGTAGATGTATAATGGTGTCAAGTAAGGACATGGTTTTGTCTCAACAACACATTAAACAGATCAATTACATTTATTACACAAGAAGCTACACACTTTATGTAAAATAATCTCTCAGGATCCACAGCCTGTCTGTACAATGCAGTTAGCCAGGAAACCCGTACTCTGGCCTGTCTGTACAATGCAGTTAGCCAGGAAACCCGTACTCTGGCCTGTCTGTACAATGCAGTTAGCCAGGAAACCCGTACTCTGGCCTGTCTGTACAATGCAGTTAGCCAGGAAACCCGTACTCTGGCCTGTCTGTACAATGCAGTTAGCCAGGAAACCCGTACTCTGGCCTGTCTGTACAATGCAGTTAGCCAGGAAACCCGTACTCTGACCTCATCACTACCTCATCTCTTGCCAATAGATAACTAAGATACAGACGCACTAAAAAAGAATAACCAAGCAGCTAACTTTGTGGCACTTCGACCTACAGCTGGAACAATACATAATGTATAATCAAAATGGATCACATGGCTGATTGGAATGTGTAATATTGCAGAAAATAAGATCTGTGGCAAACACGCTTTAATGATACTAACATGTTTTGTTCAGCAGGATAAACACCACTTTTATAATAGTTGAAGCTTAATTGCAATCAGCAGAAGTAATAAAACATTGGCTACAAACAAACTACATCGCGGTCACATGACTTCACATCACCTCCGCTAAGCTAAAGGGGGCTAATGTTTGGAGTGATGACGTTTTGTAGTCTCATTTCAGCAACCGCTGAGCAGAAACTCATTCGAAAAACCGTTGACTAAGGGACATGGAACCTGGAATTGCCTAAAATAGTAACTTATTTCTGGCCCTTTTTTGGTACTCTCTCAATGCTCTCATCATGTTGTTGTTGCCAACAACATGCAGCTGTTTACTGTGAAAGATTACAGTCAGAGGACTAGCTGGTTCATTTAGTAACTTTTACACTCAGTGGTATGGAAATTAGTCTTTTAAAGTTTAAACCCTAAAATGAGTTTTCGCACTTTCCAGTTCACTTTAGGTTCAATATATTGTATATTTGGCGGCCGTGGCCCAGGGGTAAAAATAGGCGTCCTATCAGAGGGTCTTTCTCCCATAGGCGTTTTGTCTGCGGTATTTATGTGTATGTTAGTTGCTTTGAAAACTGTAATATGGTAATACTGTGGTGATACGGGTGTGGACCATACCTGCACCAATGGCTGCGATCAGAGGTGAGAGGAGGAGTTGCAGGGGGTAGTTCCACGGGCCGATGATCAACACCACCCCCAACGGCTCCCTCCGCACAAAACAATCATCTAGCTTTGTGGCCTGAAAATGGACAAAGACAAATTATAGAGCAAAGGAAAACCATTTTTTGTGGGTATATATACACTTTACAATCATACATTTTTTCGAGGACCGCATAATAATTATTTCAACAGTCACATTAAAACAGTTACTACTATCAGTAGTACAGTAGAACAGTACAGTTATTACAGCCTACTATCACCTAAAGAACATATCTAGGATTAAACGACTAATGTCACAGCAGGATCTGGAAAAACTTGTCCATGCTTTTATCTTCAGTAGACTGGACTACTGTAATGGTGTCTTTACAGGTCTCACTAAAAAATCTATTAGAAAGCTGCAGCTAATTCAGAACGCCGCTGCTCGAGTCCTCACTAACACTAAGAAAGTGGATCACATCACTCCTGTTCTGAAGTCTTTACACTGGCTTCCTGTGTGTCAAAGAATAGATTTCAAAATACTGCTGCTTGTTTATAAAGCTTTGAATGGTTTAGGCCCAAAATACATGTCTGACCTACTGCTAAATTATGAACCATCCAGATCTCTCAGGTCTTCAGGGACTGGTCAGCTTTCTGTCCCCAGAGTCAGAACTAAACATGGGAGAAGCAGCATTCAGTTTATTATGCTCCAAATATCTGGAACAAACTCCCAGAAACCTGCAGGTCCGCTGCAACCTCTACTACTTTTAAATCCAGGCTGAAGACTTTTTCTTTTTGCCGCTGCTTTTAATTGAACTATTCACATCTTAAACTGCACTGTAACTTTTATCCATTGTATTTGTTCTTTTAATGTTTATTTTATTATCTTTGCTTTTTAATGACTGATTTTTAAATGCCATTTTCTTAATGTCTTTCATTTTTGTAAAGCACTTTGAATTGCCTTGTGTTGAAAGGTGCTATATAAATAAACTTGCCTTGCCTTGCAAACAGCCAGTTTGAATAAATGCTATATTAACCCTACCAGGTTCTTGCTGACGTACTCCGGCTGCATCCAGCTGTTCAGGTTAGCGATGGTGAAGTGCAGCTCATTGATCACCATATCCACCTCAGCTATGATGGACTCAAATTTGGGCTGAAGTGCAAGAACAACAATAAGAGAGGCAGGTTAGTTCTCCATAATATTTCAGGGCTGCAAACCCCCAAACTGAAGGTTAATAACGATCAGTTAGAAAGGGAAGATGCATCCTACAGTAGGTCGCATTTGAACTTCCATCCTTCATTTCGTTAGTAGTGAGCATCACAAGGGCTCCCTCGACAAAATCGCCATTTGGCTGAAACTTTAAGTGGGTATCCCGCATGGGGGGTGTTAGAGAATGGGTCCACAGGTTCAGCTGGTGGGTGAGGTTCCTCTCGATCAGTGCGTCTCAAAGTGTGGTCCGTGGACCACTGGTGGTCCGTGAGCGCCCCCCAGTGTGAGTATATTGGTAAAATTTCACATTTGAAATGAAAATGTATCCATGCTGGAAGTAGATTTAGATGTGTTAGTAGATAGATAGAGATTATTATCTAATATATGCATCCAATGAAGCATTGCATGAAGTCTGTTGATGAATCAGAGGCTGTTGTTGGGGCTGCAAAAAACGTTCTTTATTGTTATTTTATGAGCATTTTAAATCGCATTTGAACTAAATGCTCATATAATCTGTAGTTGTATTTGTATTGTTGATTTAATGTGTGAACGAGGCGATATAGAGAATGTTAAGCTGTCATTATTAGGCTGTACTTTGTTACATACTGTTGGAGTGGTGAGCAGACCTATTGTTTTGGGATATTTGGTGAGTTAGGTGGTCCGTGAGTGTTTTTGTATTGGTTAAGTGGTCCTTGGTATGAAAAAGTTTGAGAAACACTGCTCAGGGGAGCCCAAACATTTTTCACTGAGGGCCACATACAGAAAAACATACAAAGGGCTCGATACTTGAATATGCTTTAAGAAAACAAACAGCTCTCCATAGGGTTTCATTTACTTAGTTACAAAAAGTGCTAGCAGCTTGTTCCTTAAAACAGAAGCTTCAGATTGATTATAATAAGGGGAAATATGAAGGGTATATTTCAAGCTAGCTATGTAAATAACATATTGGGCTTTTTTGCATCAATACAAATGTTGTTAGCTTTAATTGACTGAATTTATTTGAAACGTGGGCTTATAACCACATGAACACTACTGTGTACTATATATTATATATATCTATTTAAGAAGTACAATATAAGACAAGCACAAGTTTCAGGTGTGGGCCATATTCCATTATACTTTTGGTCCTAGAAGTATAGGCCCGGGTGCCGCAGTTGGTCTCCAGGGTGGGGGCTGAGAGCCGCTATAGAACATGTTCAGTTTAACCATCATCAGGACGGCTGCTGCGTCACGCTGCCAGGCCTTTGGCTGGTTGTGTAAAGATGTGTGGTTTGTGTATGTAGCTCTGTGTATGTATGTATGTATGTATGTATGTATGTATGTATGTATGTATGTATGAGTGTGAGTGTGAGTGTCACGTGAGCAGTGTTGTACCTTGGCGAGGTCTTTCTTCAGTGCATCTAAAATCTGATCTTCATTTTCTGTCATCAGGGACATGAGCTGTTTTAGCTGAGCTTGACGGAACGCCTCTGGTACCGTGATACCCGACCGAAACGCAGAGCGCAACCTGTCCAGAATCTGGCTGTGGGTCTCCATCCTTTCACCTGAAAAACACACACAAACAAAAAAGCATGTTTAACAGAAATATATACATTGAAGAGGCCCTATTCTGCTTTTTGGGGTCCTCCCTTTCCAGTAGTGTGTTCTATAGGTTTTATTTGCATGTAAATGGTCTGAAAAGGCTCAAATATCCTGTGTATTATGACGTGTCTTCCAGAGTAGGGTTCTTCAGGTCCACTTCGGCAGAACAGCAGAAATGTAATTTGTGCTATTTCCTGATGGAGGTTTGCAGTGAAACACTGTCACGCAGGGACACATGCACACTGAGGCAGCGCGTGCAGGTGGCACATTTTAACGTAACCCATGCAGTGGCAGCGCCAGAGATTTTCTTTTTGGGGTGCTGTGGGGTAGCTTGACGTTTCATAGAGGGTGCTCAAACATGTGGGGTTTCCCTTTTTTCTTTTTAAATATTGAAGTTAAAAAGCATCAATCTGGTGCACTTTGAGAGCAAAATGAAGAGATCTATGGAAACATCTCTCAACACCCATATGAAACAGAACTGTAAACAGATTTTCTATTTCTGTATGGATATTTTACAAATCACTCCCTTTTTAAACTTTATTCTTGTTTCATACCTGTTTTTCATTCATTCTCTCGCGCACACACACAAAATGGCTCGTGCCGCACACACACAGAGCCGAGCTTGAATGAAACAGAGACCCAGAAGTACTTCTACTGTAGCATATTATTTTCGAATCAATCATTTTTCAAATTATGAATTTCACAACAACAACAAAAAGACACTGTAGAGCCGATGAATGGGAGTCGGAGGCGGCGTGTTTAGTATGGAACTCCACACTTTATTTTCCATTAGGTTTACAGAGGAAAGAATAACTTGCTACCTGCTACTGTCAAGCTAGAATGATAACAACAACAAGGTACACTCTCTAACAGGTCCGTGGTGCAACACACACTATATACCAGGGTGAATTATGTCCCATAATGTTCCACCACAACACATACATTTCTTGGGGGTGCTTAGGGCAGTGGTTCTCAAACGTTTTCTGTCATTCCCCACTTTGAACAGGTGGGTCAATAAAATGGTAGGCCAAGCTTAAAATTGTCAAATGTATCGTTCTATAACAGGGGTCTCCAACCTTTTTTTAGGATGAGAGCTACTTTCAAAAAATAAAACAAGTCGTGAGCTACTTTTACTCCTATTTTTTTAGGTTTTTGCAGTGTATATAATTAGAACATTTTAACATTATTATATGCTTACCTTTAACCTTTGTGTGCTGTTTGGGTCTGTGGGACCCGTTTTCAGTGTTCACTAAAATAAAATATGCAATTTCAATTATTTTAACCTGCTTTATTTTGGGGGTGGACCTCACATCCTCTAGGGGGGTCCGGGGGCATACACCCCTGGGAAGATTATTTTTTAAATGCAGTTAAATGCATCAATCTGGTGCACTTTGAGCACAAAATGAATTCATGGATACAGCTCTCAACACTCATATGAAAGGGAGCTGTATACTTGTCCTCGACAACTTCTGTAGTCCTATTCAACCACTTGTTAACAACCATCGTTTTTCAGACACGTAAACTCTTCAAAAATCACCAGTGGGGTCACTGCTGATGTATTTAATGTCGTAGAACAAAACGTGATCCGTCTCTTATATTTGTGTCAACCACAGACCTTATTTCGAGCTATTTTCCGAAATCCTATGGAGAAATCCCATTGACTCTGAGACTAGGGAACAAGCCCCCAGGAAGTGCGCCGGACTCTGAGGAAAATATGTGTTGTGGCCAAACGGCGGTACTACACTTCCGTATCAGTCGCTGGGCCCGGAAAGACTTTTTCCCATTGACTAACATTGGGAAAGAGACGTCTGTAAATCGTTGGATAATTGTTTTTAAACTAAAAAAACTACCCAGTATGAACATTTGTATAGCCCTTATTAAAAACATTCGGTTCTCAAGTTGTAAAATGTGCTAATAACGTTATTCTGAGAGTTCTTTTCCTCGGCATTATGAACGCGGATCTAACCCACGGGACCGCGTCGCCCGGCACGTTCATGTGACGTGTTCAGTACTACATGAGTTTTGCTTTTACCCATGGATGCACAATAAGAACGGATTATATGATTATATGAATACTTTCGTGACGTTTCACTCGCTCAAAAGTTGGGCCATTTTGTCTTCATGTGCCAATGAGCAACTCTCATAGGAATGAACAAGGCCCCGCCTCCAACCGGTAGTGGTAAAATGCTAACTCACTACCGGGTTTTAGGACTCGTCATGGCACCTCTCTATAGAGAGGCGAAGTCCCGCCCATCGACTTCCGACCCATGGGACCTTATTTCGGAAAAATTATGTATTGAAGTCAATGGGGAGAGAAAGATTATCTTTCGATCCCGTTTGAATTGTGCCACGAATTACACATATGATGTTTGTCAATCTTAAAAAATAATTTCCATGTCAAAAAAGTCACAGTTTGTCGTAAAACTGTTGAAATATAAGACAATGAAAAATACGCAACTAGAAAGACTACAAATCTCAGAATCCCGGTCCCGCATGCTGGCTCTTATGAACCGACTAACTCCCCTTTTGTGTATGTCCAGCTCTCAACATGCCCAGAGTAGTGATTTTCACCTCTTTTAATTCTTTTCGCCTCATTCTGAAAGAAAGAAGTGAAATGTGCCAACGTGACGGCCGTCTTGGTGTGTGGTGCGAGACAGGAGATGTAGTTCATTGAGCGGTTTCACGCAAAAAAAAAGTGTTACTTCAGTAGTGTTACTACTTTGAAGCAGGCGCGCCGGATTCATTTTAGAAGTGGGGGGGGCCAAAAAAGTGCGTGTGTATGGCCCAATCCCAAACCACGCCCTACACCCTACCCACTCCCCCTCCGTGACGGAGTGAACTCCGTGGAGTGACACATGAGGCTCCCTCCTGTCAGATGGAGGGAGTAAATACAGCGGCAAGCTTTGGGACAAACTCCCCTCTCTCCGGCAGAAACAGGAAATGCCGTAACTGTATCAACGGTATCAAATCAGCATCTCTTTGACAAAAAATGTAAATTAATAACTAAAATAAAACTCCAAACATCTTTCATTGTGTTACTTTTTTGTAAAGCTCTTTTAGTTTTAAACCTGATGTTTATAAGTTTCTTAGTTTTTGCAACAGTCTGTAAATATACACAACTTTATAATAAAATGCACACATTTACCTTTTTCTAGACTAAACACAGGTAGATCCTCAGTTAAAAAAATATTAGGTTATCATGAGGTTGTTAACATCGCAGTTTATCAGTGGATGTTTGCTGGAAGCACAATAACTGCATGTTTTGCATTGCTTTTAAATTTCAGTTAATATAGTGGTGAGAGACTCCCGATACATTAGATTTATAAGTTCATTAATTGTCTCATGATGCATATTTCCCGGTGAGCATGAAGCTTTTCAGAGTGGGGTTTTTCTCAGCTACGAGTTCTTTTGGAAATTGCTCTCCTTCTCCGCCCTGATTATGCCCCCTGATTGCTAGGCCCTGTCGGGTTAGAAACTGCAGACAGCGCAGTTGCTCCATCATTCCATCTCTTCTTTGTTCCTGCTCAATACGCTGTTGTTTGACAAGCTGTATGTTGACTGGTGTTTGACTGAAGAAAGCGCACTTTTTTTTTAATACACTCTCTGTGGAAATTAGACTTTTTGTGGCTGTCCAGGAGGCTTGGGCACTTTTTCCAGTTATTAACTCCGATATTAACAAAGCTATCATCTCCACATTTTGAGAAAGTTTGACAGCAGCAAATCTGCATATTTCACAGAAGGCCCGTTTAGTGATTTTGCAAAGAATTAACCACTCTCTGTTTTTGTACCATTCTGCGTTGAAGTACCTTTCTCTTTGCCCAAATAATCTAGCGGTCAGTTAGCTGCAGCTTTACCCGTCTCAATGTCCCGACAACAAACCTCCACGCAGTCGGAACCAGCCTGTTTCGGTTCAACGACGGCGGGGTGGCGGCGGGTTTTGACAGTCTCTGCGGCCGCAGAGCTGTTGCTTTTGGGTTCATCTGGCTTCGCTGTTTCTATGATTGATGAAGGTCCAGGCTCCGGAGACGTGGATGTCAGGGATGTGACCTTCCAGTTGTTAATTTAAGTTTAGATTGACTGTATAGTTTTCTTCTGCGCTGGTTCTTCTGACTTGTTTGCAAGTGTATATTTTTTCTATCTAGGTTAACGGCTGACACACACAGAACAACGTAACAAATAAAGTAAACAACGTAACGAATAAACAAATCTAAGCTTTTTATTGGTTGTAATTTACATGGATACATTTGAATGGTGTGACAATGTCCTATTTGATTGGGTTAAAATGTACATATTCTTCCTGTTATGTCTGCCTGCTTTATTTTACCTAATGCAAAGTGACCTGCTCCATCGAAATCAGTCGCATTGACCCGAAGACACATTTTGAGTTGTATACACTGTTGGAAAGAGGAGATTCATAACTTTCTAATGATATCAGGATTGTTGTTGTAGGCTACTCCAAATATTAAGCAAAATATGTCACATTATATAATGACTGTTACAGAGTCATCATTTTGAGAAAAAGGCCTTTAAAGTTTAAAGGCCCCCTGGCCCCCCCGCTTCCGGCGCCCTTGCTTTGAAGTAACAGCTTTCCGGGGTATTGAAGTCAATGGGGAGAGAAAGATTATCTTTCGATTCCGTTTGAATTGTGCCACGAATTACACATATGATGTTTGTCAATTTAAAAGATAATTTTGCAAGTCAAAAAAATAAAAATGTGTCGTAAGACTGTGAAGTAACACTTTTTTTTTTGTGTGAAACCGCTCAATGAACTACATCTCCCGTCTCGCACCACACACCAAGACGGCCGTCACGTTGGCACATTTCACTTCTGTCTTTCAGAATGAGGTGAAAAGTATTAAACGAGGTGAAAATCACTACAAGTCTGGGCATGTTGAGAGCATAGACTGTATATATGGTTGAGAGCTGTACATATACAAAAGGGGAGTTAGTCGGTTCCGTAAGAGCCAGCATGCGGGACCGGGATTCTGGGATTTGAAGTCTTCGTAGTTGCGTATTTTTCATAGTCTTATATTTCATCAGTTTTACGACAAAACTGTGACTTTTTTGTAAATTATTTTTTAAGATTGACAAACATCATATGTGTAATTCGTGGCACAATTCAAACGGGATCGAAAGATAAGTTTTCTCTCCTCATTGACTTCAATACATAATTAATCCGAAATAAAGTCGGAAGTAGATGGACTTCGCCTCTATATAAAAAGTGTTGTATTAATTTAAAAAAATCCAGTTCTTACAGTATATCCCGGAATTGTCACTTCATTTCCATGAAGCCTTTCACACAAAAGTCGGTTTACCAGCAACAGGAGGAGTTGAAGCCGAAAGAGAGTAACGAAGAGAGTAACGTTACCTGCTGCTGTGTTCCGAGGAGATGGTAGGGAGAACGTTTACGTTTCTAGAGTGTTCCCGGGATTGTTCTCTTTTCTAACAACCGCTCGACCTGGCAGCTCCTACGACAGGGCGTGGGGGGGGAGGTTTTGGTTCAGCCTGAAAAACGAGCTTCCAACCTGTCAGGCGAGAGACACACCGGGCGAGCTGTTGCTACACTAACTACGGAGCCCGGTAAGGGACAGCTAGAAATGATGTCGCACTTTTATGGTGATAACCGTGATAACTAGTGGTACTCTGATTGATTGATTGATTGAAAAGTTTATTAACAGCTTGTATATTGGGTACAGTACAGTACAGCTCAAAACATACAATTGTTAAGGGGATGCAGACCAGAGAAAGACTTTCGTCTTGTTTACATCAGGGTCCCCCCATTTCCAATTCATCATATCATTTAAGACATATAACTTAAGACATATTTGACATACAGATGGCTTATTTACAATTTACATACAGGTGGTTTTTTACATACAGATGGCTTATTTACAATTTTCATTTTAGATTTCGTTCTAATACATCCTAACCGGACATTTAAGACATACCAAGTCTACAGATATACAGTTAGTAACAGAGTCTAAAATGTGAGTATATACATAGATGGGGGGGGGAAGCTGTCCATTGTACGACAGGTTGAGATTTGTACCATTACCGGGGCCAGTTTTGCAATGCTCTCCCCCGAAGGTGCTCTTTAAGAGAGGTTTTGAAGGTAAGTATAGTTTTACTTTCCTTTACAGTTGTGGGAAGAGCGTTCCACCTTGATGTGGCATAATTGCGAAACGTGTATTCCCCCTTTTTTGTGCCAAATCTGGGTTTTACATGATTTGTGGAGCTCCCTCTGGTGTTATGATCATGGTATTCCTTGACCTTTGGGAAGAATTTTGACATGTACATGGGTACCATAGAGGTGTACTGGATCTTGTAGACCAGGCCCATTGCAAGTAGCTGTACTCTGTCGTCTACTCTAAGCCATCCTAGGTTGTCAAAGTGGGCAGAGGTGAGGTGGGTTCTAGATGAAAGGTCAAGCAGTAGTCTGACCAGTTTATTTTGCGATGTTTGAAGTTTTATTTTTAGCGCCTTGGAGGTGCTATGGTACCATGACGTGCAAGCAGTCATAGTACCCTTGAATGAGTGCTCCTGCCAGAGTTTTCAGGGTGTTTTTGTTTACCAGAGAGGAGATCCGGTATAGGAATCTAGTTCTTTGATTGACTTTTTTTATTACATTGGATGCCATTTTGTCACAGGAGAGGTTTGCCTCAAGAATAGATCCTAGGTATGTAATTTCCTTCTTACTTGTGACAATAATGTCACCCACTGCAACTGAGAAGTCGTCGGATTTGCTGAGATTATGTTTCGAACCGAAGAGAATGGACTCTGTTTTACCCAGGTGTAATGATAATTTATTATCGGCGAGCCAGGTGCAGATTCTGCCGAGCTCGGAGCTGAGGGTTTTTTCAACCTGCAATCTGCTCCTGTCAGAGACCAGCAGGGCGCGTTTCCACTACAGCGCGGAGCACGGTTTAAGAGGGCTGTGACGTCAGCGGCCCGTCTTTGGTTGCGTTTCCACTTGGCCTAGTACCGGCCGGCGGGTCCTAATTCACAGTTTTTCTGGCCTCATAAAATCGCGGGTCTAGGGCCAGAGACAACGAGGCTGAGTCGGGCTGAGTATGCTAAACTAGAGAGAGCATCGCTGGCAAGGGGGCTACAACTACAACAAGATGGACATATTTGACCGTGATTTAATTGTAATACACGTTTCAAAATGATGCCGAAGTAACAACATACTGATACCGGTTAGTAAAAACCATGAATTAATGCTTTGTCAAGTCTGCAGACAGACGGCAGGCGAAAAACCTTTTAAAATGCGTGTGTTCTAAATGGAGATTGGCTAAGCTAACGCAGTATATGCTCCGACCGTCCACACTCACAACAACGGCCTATACAGACATAAATAAAGCAGCGACTGTATTCACCATGACACAGGCAGTCTGTGGTTTGTACTTGTTTAACTTTTGTCTAGTTTCTGAACATATATGAGGAGCTGTGAGCTCTGAGTGCTAACAGCTAACGGCTGTGTTGTTTTTCTGGGGTTCTCTGAAGATCACGTCACGGCTCCGCCTACACTGCGTTACTATAGATACTACCCCAGTTCCTAAACTGTAATGGAAATGCGCCATAAAGTGAGCCAGTCCTAACGAGGCCCAGCCATACCGAGCGGGGCCGAGCGAGGCCGTGTAGTGGAAACGCGCAGCGCTACTGGGAAAATGTTTTAAATTATAGGAAGGACACGCAGCAGCACCTTAAAAACAAGGCCCCGCATACCAACCTGGAGACATCATCCCAGTGGTGATGTTCAGTGGAGGGAGCATCAGGATTTGAGGACAGGACGGCACGTCATCATCCCAGGAAATATGAATTCCCAAGTTCATCAAGACATCCAACAGGATAATGACAGAGTGGTAGAAGTTGGGATATGCAGCAGGACATTGACCCTAAACATGGAAGTAAATCTGCTACAAAATGGCTTAAAAAGGCTTTTGGAGTGGCCCAGTCAGAGCCCAGACCTAAAGCAATAGAAATGCTGTGGAATGACCTGAAGAGCGCCTCACATCCTGAGAACATGGCTGAGCTGAAGCAGTTCTGAGAGGAAGAATGGTCCTACATTTCTCCTGTAGTTTTGCAGGTCTGATACAGAGCTAGGTGAAGCACGTGTGTTATTACTGCCTAAGGAGGTTTAAATCCAAATGTTCACTTACTTTACCACCTGCACTGTGGCTCTTAAATAGCTGTGTTCAGACACCAGAAATTAAACTTAATGACTCCAGTTACAATCTTAAAGTACTTGTATTTTAATGTATGCTACTTTATACTTCTTACTGCACTACATTTTGGAAGCACTTTTTATTCCACTATATTCACCCGACACGTTAAGTTACTCGTTCTTTTAGTTTTACCTGATTCAGATTATTGGATAATAACTAACAAACATTGACATATAATTATAGGTTGAGATATACAGCAGCAGTATATCAAGTAATTAAAATGAGCTCTACCTTTACCAGCTGTGATAAACACATTAATACATCAATTATCATAATCTATTCATTTAATATAATTGATTGTGAGATGGGCCATTGTGTTTAACAAGTAATTTTAGTTTTGGTAGTACAAAGATTTATTTTGATACAAATACTAAAGTACAATTTTGAATACATGATTTTTCTTTTAACAGTATTTAGACACCAATTAGAACTGCAACGTTTACTTAAAATATATAGGTTGAAAATAGTATAGTAAATATAGTAATAAAGTACTTCTTCCATAGCCGTTTGTGTGTCATCGGCTTGACAATGACACATTTATTTTAGATAACACAGGTAACGATTCCATTTAGCATCATTTTGTTTAAAGAATGCATGGCAGAATCAGACTTAGCATACAAGTAGTCATACTTGTCATCTACCACTGTTTTAGTTCAGTGTTTTATCATAGTGACATTAGCTAGTTTGCAGTGGATCACTGAAAAAATAAAATGTAATAAGACATGACTTTTGAGTTATGTTTATTTTACATACAAATCAAAGAATCAGAAGTATGGACAATATTTGTACTGTATATTATATAATAGAGTATTTAAAAAATAATGTATACAAAGTATTCACAAAAAAGTGTGGAGAACATACGGTATATACTATAACTAAGTGTATTTAAAAAAGAATGTATACAAGTATTCACAAAAAAGTGTGGAGAACATACTGTATATACTATATAACTAAGTGTATTTAAAAATTATGTACACAAAAGGGGCATGAACAATGGAGATACAAAAATAATGTCATTGTTTGCTGTTGGCCTCCATCACCTTCACCATCCTGTCTAACAAGCCAAGCATGTGGCTGTCATGCTCGGCCTTTGCGATTCTGGCGAGTCCGTCGATCCGGCTCTGCTCGATTCTGCTCTGCTCTGTGACGTTGAAGATCCGTAGGAACTCAGCATTGCCGTTCTGCACCTCCTGAAGCATCGCCCGGCTATGCTCCAGTAGCTCTTCGTCCCTGGCTTCACTCCTCTCCATTAACGGGACAAGGCCAGATGACGAATCCCGCTTCCTTTTAACTACAAAGGGAAAAATAATAATGAGGTCAACACCGTGTTCATGGCATTCTATGAGGTGTAAATTATATACTGTGTAATGAAATGTTTTATTGTTATTATGGCTGCAGTTGCATAACTTCAACCACTACTACAATGACAATGCCATGATAAATGGCAACAGGGAACAGTATTACCATTATGAACACTGTAAACCTTACCCTGTTTGTTACGGCCCACTGGCTGGGTTAGGGTCACCAGAGATTCCTGGGAAGAGCTGCTTGTTGTGGCAAGAGACCCAAGCATGTGCACGGGCGAGCTACACGCCAAAGGTGGTGGTGGTTCCGACTCACTGCACTCCAAACGAGATATGCCTGTAAACACAATATAAACACAATGAACAAAAGTAGCCCTTCAACAAATCATACATAGTTAGTGAGAAGAAAGAAGATACATTGGAGGCGTTCGCTGTCTTTGCCATGGGGATACCTTTGTTTATTATTGTTAGCATTAGCATGCTAGCGCATGGGTGCCCACCCGGTAGCTGTAGTAGGTAAACTTTAGCTATTATTGCCAGGTCTGTCTATAGCTACATGGTTTAGTTTATGTTGTAAAACAAAAAGGCACAAATAACACAAATCAGTAATGCATAACTCACCAGCATTAAATGACTCGTCCTCCAACCCAATTGACGAGAGACAAAGCGAATTCACGGTGCATCCCACACCACTCGTCGGTCTGTCTCCGAGGACCGAGTTTAGCAAGTCAAAATGTGGACTTGTTTTCGTACGACCGCTGCCACTCCGTCCGAGCTCTTTCTTTTGGTCCCGATAATCCTTTCTGTGTTTTGAGGTCTTCCATCGTTGTGTACAAACTGGATAAAACGCAGGCATTTTGTTGTTGTTCAGGAGGTTGACCCCGACCCCGCCCCCGCCCCTGCCCCCGCCCCCGCCTCGACGGACGTAAGAGAGACGTAAGCGACGCCGCGTCATAGCTCCAAAGCTCTTGCCTCTGGACCAACAACTTTTTGGAGCTGGAAGTGAACCGCATTCCGGAGCTATGACGCGCCGCCGCTGCGGTGTGAACAGGAAAAACCGGCGCTTTTCAGGCTCTAGCTCCCAGCAGGAGCTGGAAAAGCGCCGGTGTGAAAGGGGCATCAGTCTGACAGGAGAGGGCTCTCCTCCACTTTGTTGTTGAAAAAGCTCCTTATATCCGTTAGCGTAGCTCGCTAGCACCGGAAGCTAACAACAACGATCTCCGGTACCGGTGCGCTCTCTCTCTCTCGCGCACACAAAATGGCTCGTTCCACACACACACAGAGCCGAGCTTTAATGAAACACAGAGACCCAGACGTAATAGTACTGTACTGTATCATATTATTTTCGAATCAATAATTTTTTTTTTTTTTTAATAACCATTTTTCCTCCTGGTCTCTCGCGCCCCCCCCTGGCATGCCTCTGCGCCTCCCACTTTGTGAACCACTGGCTTAGACACATGAGGCGCTTTCACACCGGAGTACTTTTCCCAGAAATAGTTCCGATAGTTCCTGGGATGTTGCGTTCACGGGAACCTTTTCACCCCTTTTTAGTCCCTGCTAGAGAGCAGGGACTTTCCTGGGGAGAAAAAGGTTCCAATTTCTGATTGGCTGGGCAAATTGCAAACCACGCCCCGTAAATCTCTGAAAAGTTTTTGTGAAGCTGCCATTTTATTTCCTCGCATTAGCATTATTAGCATTAGCCCAGCGCACCAACAGAGAGAGACTAACTTATGGCAACACAAAATAAAACGTGGGATCGGTGGAGTGATGAGGAGGTGTCGGCGCTTCTGGCGAGTTACCCGGGGCTTCGGGTGGCGATTTACTGCCACCCAAAGCCCCGGACTCTGGGGGGCTCCGGGACTTCGGGTGGCAGTATACGCCATGAAGTTGTTTGCGGCCTGCCAGTAAACACAAAGAAGAAGTGACGTCAGCGGCTTCATTTGCCTAATCCTCCTTCAGGGACTTATTCCGGTGTGAACGCGATTTACTAGATAGTTCCGGAGAAATAAAAGTTCCGGGAACTATTCCTGGGAAAAGTACTTGGTGTGAAAGCGCCTAATGGTGTGTGTCTCCAACTGGTTCACATATTTGTTGTGACTGTAATTCACACACACACACACACCCCTGTGGGTATGTCCTCTTTTCCACAAATTGTTTCACTAAAGACAAATGCACTGTAGTGGGATACAATGCTTTTTCCATGTCTCCATGAGAAAGATTGCCATATGATGTCCAAGTGAGTCTAGTGAAAATGAATCATATATATCATTTTTGACAGCTACATTTAGTAAACCTCACTATACGTTGGACTCATTAGGGGACAGTCTCGTCAAACAGTTAGATCAATATCAGCACAGAAATAAATGCTTTCTCCTAATATCGCATTACTTTGGATTTAGTTAGCTGTGTTCTTGTGTTGTGGTGCTAGTTTTATCTTCAGAGCTTTTTGGGTGAACTGACCCTTTCAACATGAAGCATTAAACCACAACTTTACAGAAGTCAGCATTGATACAAAAACTTTATTCTCACAATATCAAAATTGACAGACCTAGAGAGATTTGTAGATTAAAAGGAATTAAGAGAAAATAATGGTGACAGTGACCCCTGCTGGCTACTCATTACATTTCTGCAGATCATCTGTGACAGTGGCTCTGTTAAATAGTGACGCACATGACGGCTGAAACAGAAACAAAGAGCGAGAAGAAAGTGAGCTGAGGGTCAGCTTACATCTGAAGCCGGCAGCGACAATTATACAAAAAAAAAAATCTAAAATAAAGAGAACGTATGCATTGAAGGAGTTCCTTAAATTGTTGAACTTCCTTCATCTGCATTTAAAATAAAACTTCTAAAACTAAAAGACAATGTTCGTCGTGGAAAAATACCACAAGTGGTGGTGAGTTTAGGTGGAGTATCTACAGAGAAAGAGAGAGATGGAAGGAGGCGGAGGGGGGAGAAAACGATGAAGTGACAGCAGTCTGTCCGCCTCAGAGGGACTGCTGTCAGCCGTGGGCAGGCTTGAGTTCAGGCGGACATGTTGGAGGGTGGAGGCTGGGAGGTGGCAGTGGAGACCTCCACTCATCGCTGCTGTCTGCTCTAGCCCCTCACAGGAAGTAGTCGGCTACTGGCTTCTTGGAGGGGATGCCTCTGGTCTCTTGTGGCGCCGCTTCGAATATGATGAACTCCCGCTGTAGATGCTCGTCCAGCTCCAAGATGGCCGCCACGTTGCCACATCTGATTGTCAAGAGAGATAGAACCGGTTAGAACAGGGGTATCAAATATACGGATGACTTTGCATCGTGTAAAAATGACAGAGAAGACATTTATTGCAATTTTCACAACTTTTATGCATTTCTTTTATACATTTAAGAGGCAGGGGGTTAGATGAACCTTCTTCCTGAATAGTTCCCACTTTAGTTTGTATGGTGTTGAGTCAGGATTACTACACAGATGTGGAAAATAATGTAAAATAATTTCAAGAACCCCACAAGTTGTTTTGATCTTAAATGAAAGACACTATTGTTCAGTTTCAGATACATGTGTTTAAATGTGTTTGTTATCACATGTGTAAATGATAAACTGAGTCACAAAATTGTTTAACATATTTTTTATGAAGAAATGTAATGTTTTCTAAAAGGATAGTTCATTCAATTTTTACATTTTCAGAATGCACTTTTGGCACTAAACAAATGGAATAATTTGAAGTCGTCGTTATTTATAAGTTATTATGCTATGATTTTACTGGTCCGGCTCATTGAGATCAAGTATGTATGTATATGTATATGCATGTGGCCCCTGAACTAAAATGAGTTTGACGTCCCCGGGTTAGAACCTTCACATACTCATCGATTGTTTTACGAGCTGCGATTTTAACACTTAATGTGATGTGAAATAGGTCTTGTGTATATTGAATGTTTAAATATTTAGCCATATCTGAAGATCACTCATCTCCCACATTTCTACATGCGTCCCATTAAACTGACCACGAGTCCAAATATTCCACTCTTTATGCTAAATGGACTGCATTTATAAAGTGCTTTTTCAGTCTTTGCAACCACTTAAATCGCTTTTACATATACAAATCAGCATTCACCAATTCACACATTCATATTTTAGGAGCAATTCAGGGTTTGGTATCCTGCCAAAGGACTGGTTCCATATAGTGAGGCTCTTTTGTAGAAAATGGTATAAAGCTTATTAGACTGACTTGACATGTCAGTGTTTAACTGTTGATAGCAATGTGAGACAGGAGAGACAAACAGCTTCTATCTCCGATTACACAAGGCATATGTTGCTCACTTCTCAGCTAAAAACTCAAGAAAACCATTTGAAACAGCTAATCTTAACACTATGTTTCAATAGTGACACACTGTCACTGCCCAGCTGTTACTGTGAATGCAAAACATCCCAGAATAAGGCACATAAAAGCTAGTGTTTAACTAAAGACAATGGTAATCAAGATGAGTGGACATTCACCTTGCTTTGCCTCTGTGATCAGTGAGTGAGTTTGTTGTTTGAGTTGGTAGACTCAAAAGGCACTTAATAAATGCAGTTCATTTGATCAAATGGAGTCAGATCATTTGTGAAACTTATCACAAACCTGAAACTAGACTCAGACGTTAGTATAACGTTTTACTTCCTACCTGTAGCAGTAGTTGGGTGCTGACCACACGGTGAGCACCGTCTCGTTGAAGTGCCACTTGTAGCCCTCCATCACCAGCTGGTGCGCTCGACAGATCATGTGGATGTCGTTGGCGGCGTTGAACTGGGCCACCACGTCACTGCCAAACAAATAGCCGGCACCTCTGGGACTCACCCCCCACCCCGTGGTGTCTGAGGGACGGGAGATCAGAGGTCAACATGGCAACAGGGTTAAGACGACAACGTTTTTCTTTTTGCATTTTTGGTTACGTTACATTTCATTTAGCTGACGCCTCTATCCAAAGCTACTTAAAATAAGTGCATTCTACAATGAAGAAACTAACTGGAAGCAAGAATCCTGCAGGCACATTCCCTATCTAGAAGCCCAACCAGATTTAGTGCTACTGCATTAGCTTCACTTAAAAGGCAAACTTTTTATAGTGCTACGTACACAAGAGACCCAGGCTAAAGAGACGTTCATGTTCCGTAAACACCCCACTGGTGAATGTCTGAAGCTTCCAAAACAAGTGTCCAAATGAGACTACTAAACGTCATTACACCAGTCTAGTCTGTCTAGTTTAGTGGTGGTGACAACCAGCCATGTTGACCTGTGATGCTAACTCCCTTATATTGCTGTATATCCAAATACTAATGGCGCATTTCCACTACACGGCCTCGCTCGGTATGGCTAGGCCTCGTTAGGACTGGCTCACTTTATGGCGCATTTCCATTACAGTTTAGGAACTGGGGTAGTATCTATAGTAACGCAGTGTAGGCGGAGCCGTGACGTCATCTTCAATGAGAACCCCAGAAAAACAACACAGCCGTTAGCTGTTAGCACTCAGAGCTCACAGCTCCTCATATCTGTTCAGAAACTAGACAAAAGTTAAACAAGTACAAACCACAGACTGCCTGTGTCATGGTGAATACAGTCGCTGCTTTATTTATGTCTGTATAGGCCGTTGTTGTGAGTGTGGACGGTCGGAGCATATACTGCGTTAGCTTAGCCAATCTCCATTTAGAACACACGCATTTTAAAAGGTTTTTCGCCTGCCGTCTGTCTGCAGACTTGTCAAAGCATTAATTCATGGTTTTTACTAACCGGTATCAGTATGTTGTTACTTCGGGATCATTTTGAAACGTGTATTACAATTAAATCACGGTCAAATATGTCCATCTTGTTGTAGTTGTAGCCCCCTTGCCAGCGATTCTCTCTAGTTTAGCATAC